GAATATTGAGAGATATTATATTCCTCCAATGAACGTACTGCAGAACACGTTGTACACACAGACTAAATTATAACTACACTGTTGATAGTTTCTGGATCGCTAAGCTAAATAGGCCATATTACTTGTACCAGCACCAGTGCTCCATGTCAATGTAACTTTGTTTAAACAGATTTAAAATTCAAAAGTTTTAACCATTAAACGTATTTAGGAGGTGCAAGGAGACTCTCCTGCCAAGAAATCTATAGCGGAGGAACTAGCCGAACAGGGTTCCAAGGTGTCAGATGATAGGTTCCTACACGGGTTCCTGGCTTCTCTATCCGTTATCATAGTTTCAGAACTAGGAGATAAAACTTTCTTTATCGCAGCCATCATGTAAGTTAATTATTTTATCTTTTCCTTCATCAACGAATCATGAAATGGAATTAAATCATGGGCGTAAACATAAACATAAACATAAACATAAACATAAACATAAACATAAACATAAACATAAACATAAACATAAACATAAACATAAACATAAACATAAACATAAACATAAACATAAACATAAACATAAACATAAACATAAACATAAACATAAACATAAACATAAACATAAACATAAACATAAACATAAACATAAACATAAACATAAACATAAACATAAACATAAACATAAACATAAACATAAACATAAACATAAACATAAACATAAACATAAANAGTTTTAATGAACTGTTAAATTTTTAAATAATATAATATTTCTAGGGCTATGAAGCACCCCAGATTAACAGTGTTTGCTGGTTCTATTTTCTCCCTGGCTATTATGCATGTCATGGCCTCCTTTTTTGGATACGCTACAACAGTCATACCTAGAAGTAATCTCATTTTTATACTTTGTTTTCGTAATTTCAAGTGACCCCTCATATACATTGAGTGGCATATCTGATTCACAACTATACCGTTTAAACCTTCGCCCGATCAGGAGTAAATGATAAATGCTTATTAAGAGTGACTATTTTCAATTGTGGACTCGTTTAAAAGTAACTTTATTTTCAATTGTGGGCTCGTTTAAAAGTAACTTTATTTTCAATTGTGGGCTCGTTTAAAAGTAACTTTATTTTCAATTGTGGGCTCGTTTAAAAGTAACTTGAGGATTTATGCCCAAGAGACAAAGAAGGAAATTGCGAGAACAATGTTCAAGATGGAAAACATACATCTTCCACGTTGTTTCTAAGATAGAGGGTTAAAGAGTACCGTTATGAATAGAACATGCCACGCTCCAAATAGAGGCGGTCAATTCAAATTACATTTCTTTAATGATAGCTTTATCATTATCGTGTAGTATATTAAATCTGTTTTTTTGTTCTGTTCACAGTTGGATTTTTTTCCCTTCTTTTATGTAGTTTGATGTTTTATGTGGCATATCTGATTCACAACTATACCGTTTAAACCTTCGCCCGATCAGGAGTAAATGATAAATGCTTATTAAGAGTGACTATTTTCAATTGTGGGCTCGTATAAAAGTAACTTGAGGATTTATGCCCAAGAGACAAAGAAGGAAATTGCGAGAACAATGTTTAAGATGGAAAACATACATCTTCCTCGTTGTTCCTAAGATAGAGAGTAAAAGAGCACCGTTATGAATATGCCACTCTCCAAATAGAGGCGGTCAATTAAAATTGTGTTTCTTTAACAAAAACTTTATCATTATCGTGTAATATATTAAATCTGTTTTTTTTTGTTCTGTTCACAGTTGGATTTTTTTCCCTTATTTTATATAGTTTGATGTTTTAAGTGTCTGTATAGAATATATACATAAAATGAATATATACATAAAATATTTACTATATGTATAATGTATACATTAAAAAAATTAACTTTCAAACTAGATCTTTAGATGGGTCTCCAAGAACTTTAAATCCGTATGTTGAAGCTTTTAACATTTGAGTTATATGCAGTTATTGTTTCTGTTTCAAATTTGGTTATTTTGAGATGCAATTTTTTTTTAATTCTGTCTTTTTTGGTTCTGTTTTTTTTCCCATTCTTATCTAACTGTTTATTTTTTTCCAGTGATCACCTACTATCTATCTTCCTTCTTGTTTGCCGTGTTCGGATTGAAGATGTTGCACGAGGGATACCATATGTCCAATACCGAGGCCCAGGAGGAGTTCGAGGAGGTGAACGAGGAGCTGAGGAAAAGGGAGGAGAAGGATGGGAAGGGGGACCTCGAGTCCGGAGGAAAGAAGGATATTACCGCGGTGGCCTTCGCCGGGAAGATATTCATTCAGGCGTTTACAATGACAATGTTGGCGGAGTGGGGAGACAGGTCACAGCTAGCCACAGTTATTCTAGGTAGATTTATTGCGTTATCTTGCGTACACTAGGTAGATATATTGCGTTATCTTGCGTACACTAGGTAGATTTATTGCGTTATCTTGCGTACACTAGGTAGATTTATTGTGTCATCTTGCTAACACTAGGTAGATATATATTGCGTTATCTTGCGTACACTAGGTAGATTTATTGCGTTATCTTGCGTACACTAGGTAGATTTATTGTGTCATCTTGCTAACACTAGGTAGATATAATTGCGTTATCTTGGGTATACTAGGTAGATATATTGTGTCATCTTGCGTACACTAGGTAGATATTGCGTTATCTTGCGTACACTAGGTAGATTTATCGCGTTATCTTGCGTACACTAGGTAGATTTATTGTGTCATCTTGCGTACACTAGGTAGATTTATTGCGTCATCTTGCGTACACTAGGTAGATCTATTGCGTTATCTTGCGTACACTAGGTAGATATATTGCGTCATTTGGCACACACTAGGTAAATATATTGCGTCATTTTGCGTACATTATGTAGATATATAGTCATATTGCGTACACTAGGTAGATATATTGCGTCATCTTGTGGACACTAGGTAGATATATTGCGTTATCTTGCGTACACTAGGTAGATTTATTGTGTCATCTTGCGTACACTAGGTAGATATATTGCGTCATTTGGCACACAATAGGTAAATATATTGCGTCATCTTGCGTATACCAGGTAGATAAATTGAGTCATATTGCGTACACTTGGTAGATATATTGCGTCATTTTGCGTACTTTAGTTAGACATATTGCGCACACTAGGTAGATATATTGCATTATATTGCGTCCACTGGGTAGATATATTGAGTCATATTGCGTTCACTAGGTAGATATATTGCGTTCACTAGGTAGATATATTGGGTCATTTAGCGTACAATAGGTAGATATATTGCGTCATCTTGCGTACACTTGGTAGATATAAAGAGTCAGATTGCGTATACTAGGTAGATATTTCGCGTAATCTTGCGTACAGCAGGTAGATATATTGCGTTATATTGCGTACATTAGGTAGATATACTGCGTCATCTTGGATACACTAGGTAGATATTTTGCGTCATATTGCGTACACTAGGTAGATATATTGAGTTATATTGCGTACACTAGGTAGATTTATTGCGCCATATTGCGTATACTAAGTAGATATATTGCGTCATATTGCGATGAGTTGATAGTTAAACTTCGTACAGTAGGTAAATACATCGCGTACGGTAAGTGTTAGGAAATCTATTGTGTATAATTGGTATATTCTAGCTAGATATATTGCGTACAGTTATCTGCTAGCAAGGTACTAATGCAAGGAAAGTTAATTGCGGTTGTGTATACTCTGCGTACATATTGAAACCAGTTCTCTCTGGGCGGTGTTTGTAAACAAGAATATCTATTCTTCATCAGTTTTCGTTCAGTATCCGAGTAGGATTAAAGCATTTAATTTTTTATAATTTTGAAAATTTACATAATAGTTTCCTATGACCAGAAGATTTCATAGATTATTTTTGTCAAAATGGATTCCATGTCAGGCTGTGAAATCCGTCTTGTGTTAACTTTTCCACCCAAAGACAGTAAACTGCAGTACAAAAAATGTGTACACCTCTGAAATAACTTTCCTTGCATTAGTACCTTGTCTGCTAGTATATGTGCACGGCATAAGCATCTTTTAACCTAAATCAAGTTAAAAAAGCACTGTGACCCCAAGTTACAATAGTTCTTTGATTAATGAAATGTGAAATTATAAAAATGAAATGTAGTTTATAAATAAAAAGCAGTTTTAATAATGTTTGAAAAATTATGAAAATATTTAAATGATCGATATTTCAGCTGCCCGTGAGGATGTTTATGGAGTGTGTGTGGGCGGAGTACTGGGACACGCCTTGTGTACTGGACTAGCTGTCCTGGGAGGACGGATTATTGCCACTAGGATATCAGTCAGGACTGTTACACTGGTCAGTTATTTTCAAAATTCAATTCAATCGTAAGGATTGGATGTCATCTGTATTATCATTGTTCCTTTTCAGATGTTTACAGTATTATTATTATTATTATTATTATCCTATGACATAAAGCTGCAATGTACATATGTATGTCACAATTTTCTGAGTCCTAATTGACACATGTACTTTCTTAATCATAAGTTTGGCTTTTTTGTCACAGAAATTGTTGAAAGGACATATAGAGCTCTCTGTTCCGTACAGAGTGATCCGTCTTGCATCGTTATATCCAAATCCTAACTTTCCCATTAAAATTTAGAGAAAAATTAACTGAGATCGTCAAGATTAAAAAGATTATAAATTACGCAGATATAATAAGTTCTAGATTATGTACACAAAAACCGCGCATATGGGTGTCAATGAATACATTTACAATGAATACAAATTTTACGCTGCTAGTCATGAAATACAACTTTGCGTAACCCTTGAAATTATGTTAATTATTATCGTCTACTTTCAGATCGGTGGAGCTGTATTCCTTCTGTTTGCATTCAGTGCTCTAGTGATGAGTCCGGAGGAATAGATTTAACCCTTTATACTTGGATACCAGAGCTTTATTCTCTACTGGATATCAGTTCCGAGAAAACATCCTGTTCCTTCTCCGGGTAGGCTGATTAGTAGGGAACCCGGGGAGAATTTATCAATCAATATTGTAGTTCAATGTATTTCTTGCTCCGGGTGGCTAGTAGGAAACCTGAGATAAACGGTAGATCAACCAGTTAATCAATCAATCAACCCATAGATAAACATTTTTCCGACTGTTAATTTAACTCAATACTAGTATTTATTTGCTCACAAAAATATCTGCTTAAAAGGACCGTAACCATAGTTTCAAGTAACCCTTTATTTAAAGATGACAATGCCCGATTCACAACTGTACCTTTAATAGCTTTGTCGAATCAAGTATGAATTAGATATCAATGTTTATAATTTAGAAAACTGATTTAAAAAAAAATCAATCTAGAAAATTGATCAGAGGAATGGGTCCAAGGGAAACAGGCATTGCCATATTTGCACGAAGGGAACTAGAATCAGGGTGGAAACTGACATAAATATATTTTTCCATCATTATCCAGTCCTCCAAATAGATATGCATTAATTCAAGAATCTGTCTTGAAACTTTTAAACCTGGATTTCTCGATCCTATCTTAAAAACAAGTTATCTGAACTTCGCACTCTAAGTAAGAATTTATCATAAACAAATATTTCTGTTAAATAATGTTTTATAAAGTACTTGTTAAAGGGACTGCTGACGTAATTTCAATTGACTCTTAATTTTACGAGTTGCGTGCTCTATTCACACAATGGTGAGGTTTAAGGCAACAGAGACAATGAAGAATATTGAGAGAATTTATAAGATGGAGAAACGAAGATATTACCTAAAGGGTTCCGTTGTAAATCTGGCATGCAACCCTTTTTTTAATTGAGGCTCACTTGCAATTAGCTTAACAGTCCCATAAAAGTTTGAAAGAGTCAGAAATATTAAAAAACTAGGTTTAATTTAAATTCAGAAATCAGAAATCAGATTCTCTCTAAAAAAAATTTCAATTTCATTTTCTTACATCCCTTGTTTTTATCAAACAAGAATACATATAATTCATAATTTTCTAGCACTGGAATTTAAAGCAATATTGACCAGTTGACAGCTATTTTTCTCTTACACTTGAGTACTTCCTTTTCTTTTAATTTTAAGTTCATTTAGCTCAATGTTTTAGATATTTTATATTGTAGCACTAGTAGCACTACTTGCACACTTTCTTCCATGAAGATTTTTGTTATATTTTACTTACTTTTATTAGCAAAATGAAAATTTTGTTTTTCTCTCTTATTTATATTAAAAAATGTTTATTTTTTATTTAGCAAAAAATGAAAAATAAATTTAGAATTTGTCTAACTTTCTAAAAATCTAATTTTTTCATTATTCCATTAGAACTTAATTCATTCCTATTCCCTCCTTTTAAACAATATGAACACTGTACAAGGTTTGTACACAATGATACCCTCCTGTACTGCGTACATGCTTTTTAACAGTAAAGTTTGTACTCCTATGTATGTTGTACATATGTACGATTGCTTGTTTTGTTTACAATCTTATGTATAATAATTACCAATTGTTTAATGATTATAAAGATGTGTACATTGTACACTATACAATGTACACACTGTACACTCTAAGCTATAATTTTGCATAGCTAAGTTAAATACATGATTGTGATAATTTAACATATTTAATTAGTTCAATTTTACGTTTTGTTTTAACCGATTGTTACAGAGAAAATGCGGGACGTTTGCTGAAGCTTACGCTCAATAAGTTTAAACTAAAAGGTAGTATAAGAAATATTCAAGTAATTACAAGACTGAAAGTGTTGAGCCTCCGATCCCCTGTAGACTTCCCATGGAGGGGGGGGGGGGGCGATCTCATTTCAACAGAAACAAAAAGAAATATAAATGCCACAACCCACTTAGGGATGGGGTCCTTCTTCCTGTTGACCAGGACCTGCAGATACCTTAGGGACCTAGCTACCATCCTGTGCTCAATGGGCATCAGTAAACTCAACAACTTCACAGGACGATCTTGGAACCTGTAGAATAAACCTGGCTACGGAAGCCTGGATCTTTTCTAGCTCTACAATGGTGGCTTTGGACACAACCATGGCTTCGATGGCATAAGGATTGAGGGTATGCAGCATTCCCACAACCCCTGGGCAGTTTGGGATCTGTCCAAGCCAGTCCGGGTACATCCCATTATAGTATGAGCATAGGCCAGAGCTGTTGAAATCATCCTAGCCACGCGTGCCTTAACCAGGTTGTGGCCCTGAATGCTGAGGTCCACCCCTAAGTACTTGGCTATCAGCAACTCTTCTAGACTGGGTTTTGTCTCCTGAGACGACCCAGTGCCAGTGGGCCCCAGTCTGGCCCGAGGATAAGATTACGAGTTTCTCTACCGCAAGTTTCATCCTCATATCTGCACAGAACTGATGTACAGATCATAGGAGTCTGTTCATCCCCTGGATCCTAGTCCGTGTGAATAACACCAGGTCGTCTGCAAATAGCAGTGCTGACACAACAACTCCTGAGAAATTGACCCCCTCTCTCATAGATGGAGCACTCTCCCTAGGCCTGAAAGATACATAGCAAAAAGCAGAGAGTCATTATAGTACATAGACTGTATCAGACTCTTCATCTTACTGCTGAACCCTACTACATCCAGCTTACAGTACAAGAGCTCACTATATCACAGAACGCCAATGACACTGATTGGTTCCTTGTCTTTGCCTTTTGGACTGCTGCCAAAATGATCAGCACACAATCAGCAGTAGAGCGTCCTGCGCTGAACCCGTACTGCACAGGGCCATAGTACCCCTCCCTTTCTCAAATTGGATCCATCCTGGAATGCACAATTTTAGTGAAGAGATTTAGGATGATACTAGAGACCGTAAAGGGGCGTTCCCTTTCACTTCCAAGGACGGCTGCTTCTTATTAATAAGTGTCATCTTTCCTGTCTGGAGGGACTCTGGGACCCTGCTGATCCTCAGCATGTGGTAAACAATATCAGTGAGCAACTCCAGTGCCAGGAGTCCAGCTGCCATGAGCATGTCGCTGGACACCCCGTCAACCCCTGGAGCTCTGTCCCTTTTCAGCTTTGACACTAAGTCCTTGACAGCAAACGTTGTGATTCATGCACTGTCATGTTGCTTTCGGGTACAATCCACTCCTTCCAGCTTCCGGACTCCTTAGCAACTGCTTTAATAAGCTGTTTACCCCTGTAATCTTCTAGAAAATGAGCGCCAGCTGCGCTAGCACAATTCTCTTGACCAGTACTTTGTTCATAATATATATATATATATATGTATATATATATATATATATATATATACATCTATCTATGTATATACTTTGCTTGTCTGTCCGTTTGTATCCAATAAACGTCAAAACGGGTAAACCGATCGAGCCCAATTTTCTTTGCGACCTCGCGTGACCCTAGGGAAGGTTTATGGATGATCAAGTTTTTCAAAAATTTGCCTCCATCAAAATTCTTTTTTAGAAATAAAGGAAATCCACGAATTTTTTTTTATAAAATCCGCGAAAACTTTTGTTTGTTTTTGTTTTACAATGTGTAAGAAGAGAACATGTTCACAATTGAAATGGAAGATGGGTGCGAAGCGCCCTAAAAGCCTAGTATATAATATGTAAATAAAGTTTCCTAAATTGCGTAAATATTGTCAGAATTCCCCGATCCCTGGCGCTAATTATAAATGTCGTCTTTGAAGTGGAGGTTACAGGAAGGGTAAGTAATAGTATAAGGCAGGTTAGGATCGATAATGTACAAGTTGCAGACACCGCCCTTCAGTAGTAAACCTCTGTTAACCTCTAGGATAGGATTAGGTATAATCGATACATTAAAAAAACCTTTAAAAAATTGCGATAAGACGGGGGGGAAGGGGGGGATTTAGCAGTCTGGACATTTAATTTCAGGCCCCTGAAAGTCTAAAAGATGAGAATAAAACAATCAATATAATTGGTAAAAAGACATCCTGAAGAAGCACAACTTTGAAAAACAGAATTTTGATTCCTTGTCTAATGACTTTGATAATTATGATGATAATGAAGATGATAATTATAATGATAATGATAACGATAATGATAATGATAATGATAATGATAATGATAATGATAATGATAATGATAATGATAATAATAGTAAAAGGTCTGATTTGATATTTTTATGAATCAACATTTAAACGTATAAAAATGTTAATGGAATCAGTGAAATTATGAATAGTTCAAAAAGTAAACCAGGAGTTGATAGAATAAATAATCAATCTCATCAAAATTTGATTATTAAATCAAAGAATCATTGATTATCAAATCAAAGAAGCATTGATTATCGAATTAAAGAATTATTGATCATCAAATCAAAGAATCCATAAATGAATGAATCATTCAATTATTCAATCATTGAATTGATGAATCAATGAATCAATTATTCAATTAATTAATCAATCAAGTGAATCAATGAATCAATTATTCAATTCATTTATCAATCAATTAATAAATTGATCAATGAATCAATGAATCATTAAATAATTTTATTGACAAAATATTGAATTAATAAATCTTTGAATTAATGAAAGCAAAAGAAACGCTTTCAATTAAAACCACTTTTAAAATTCGTTGATGGTGATGGACCAAACCTCTGTAGAGTAGATGTTAGTTCCACATTTTATTGAAAATATATTTCGGTCTGGGTTGACCCTCGTCAGTTCTTGAGATTGTTTTGTCAAAATGATTAAAAACAAACTCTTTATATTTATACTTCAGTCTACAGATTTAATTGTAAACAATGAACATTCCTTTCACAGATTGAGCCTGAATGCAACTGCATGGGTTGGATGAGAACCAGATGAAGGATGACCGGGAAAACATAAAAGAGAAGAACAAGAAGAACAACACGAACGAGAATATTAAGTTAATGATGAATTCCAAGGAGCTGAACGTCAATGTCCCGCTCGCTACCGTTGACTCAGATTCTGAGGAGTTTGAGGTAACAGCTTTAACAGAAATTAAAGTAAATAGTCCAAAAAAAATGATTAAGCAATGGAATTAAATATTACAAAATGACAGACAATTTTTAATTTCTATGAGATATTTTGATAAAAACTTTCTTCACAAGAATTAAATAAACCGATGTGAATCGCAAACCATCCTTTTTTAAAAAATCATAGAGCACAGAAAATCGGGGAGGAAGAACAAATGTTTACTGCAGACATAAATTTTCAAGTTTAATGGGGCTGTACACGTAAATTCAATCTCCTTTTAAAGAGTGGTATATGTCTGATTCATGCTGGCACCGTTAAAAGTTTTCTGATGAGGTATGAATTAGAAATCTTGAAAACGGATTATTTTCAAATGTGATTTCTCTACAAAAGTTACATGTTCATTTCCACGACAGGAAAATCATGGAGAAATTATCACTTGAAAATACGCCTTTAGTTCCTTATAATTTAATCAGATTTCTTTTTAAATCAGACAGATGTTTTGTTCAGGGTTTCTCTGAGTTTAGTCTAGCCGGAGGAGAGCAGAAGAGTTCTAATGTATCTCCGGAGAACGGAGTACTCAACCTAGGAGGAGGAGGGATGGATTCTATGACAGGGAGTCTAGAGGATCTTGTCTCCACCTTCGACGAGAAGCTGACAATGTGCTTTGCCGACTACCAGGAGCAGGTTGACAAGATAGCTCCGGTCCAGGTAAAATATATTACATCTTGAACGATAAATATTTGATCTTCATATAGCAAGAACTTGTATGAGGTTGTTAAAATAGACGGTCTAAGTCTCCTATATCAGAAAAGGGGGTAATTAATGGTAAACTGTGAATAATTATTATTAAAAAAAAACGCGTAGTGGAGTTTCTTAAGCTAGTCTAATCACTTTAACAATACTTCGTTTCTTAATATATCTCTCAGAAACTCAGTATAGAGCAAATGTTCTTAATATCTTGTTTCTAATATTATGTCATAAAATTTAAAATTTACATATATCAGTACTATATACATTTTATTTGATTTTATCACCGCCCTTTTCCACTGTGTTATGGCATGACTACTTAAGAAATTTAAGTCTTCCTTACTTTTGCCAAAAATTACTTTTTTTCAGTTTTTTGTAAATTTTATCTATTGTTGTTATTAAATTATATTTAGTTGCGTTGGGATAATTTGTGAACATTTGTTAGAGGATTGATTGGTTCAATGGTTAAGTAGAAAACCAAAATCATTCTTTTATTTTGTGAATTTCTCCTCCGGACTACAAATGACGTCTCAAAATTAAGATGATAAAAGTCTAACTTGTTGTTAACTTTTTTTTTTAGGTTCGGTCTCAAGAGGAGATAATGAATGAATGCCAGGTTTGGTGGACGCTGACCGGAAACTTTGGGAATATTATGCCGATAGACTGGAGCAAAACATATACAAGGAAACATTATTATTAAATCAAAACATTTATTATGAAATATGAAATATAAACATTTATTATAAAACTTAAACATCTCTCATAAAATCTTAACTTCATTATTAGATTGAAACATTTATTATTAAATCTAAACATTTATTATTATATTTAAACATTTTGTTACCTACATATTTAATTAATCAAAACATTTATTTTTGAATCAAAATATTTTTTAATCAAAATATTTTTCAAATCAAGGCAAATAAACATTTTTCAATATAATTTATTTTTAACAAAATGAAATCCTTTACAAGTTCGCATCAAATTTAAATCTCTTCTATATTTGAAAAAAAGCAATTCTTGATAATTTTTTATTAACTAATTAAAACATTGACTGGAAGATTAAGATTTTGTTGAGTAGCACTGATACTGATATATTTCTTCTAATTATAAACTAATATTTATATTTTGTTGAGTAGCACTGATACTGATATATTTCTTCTAATTATAAACTAATATTTATATTTTGTTGAGTAGCACTGATACTGATATATTTCTTCTAATTATAAACTAATATTTATAAATAAATGTTTTCAGAGCTAAACATATTCCAACATTAAACCTTTGTGATCCTAGACCAACAGGTACCAATCAATTAATCAATTAAATAAATCCTGTAAGTAACATATTAATTTGAGGTACCCATAATGAAAAAAGATGTTAAAAAATTCTAATAATTATTCATTTCATTTATTTATTCTTTTCAATAATCAACAATACAAACTCCTATTTTTACTCAGATCTAATCTTTAACTAAAATCTAAATTCATTTTTTCTTGGTATTTTAATGAAAAAGATAGTGGATATTGTTAAATTCAAACGTTTGATCTCGATATCAAATGTGGGCAATTTTGGTGTGTGGATCAATGCTTGATCTCTTTTTTTTTAAAGTTATCCCTGTGGGGTATAAACATCATGATATATTAAAGTGGAATTAAATTGATCTGGAGATCTAAATAAGATGGAGATCAATGCTTGATCCTGAGAGATTAAGCTATCTCTCATTGGACAAATACAATTAACTAATCTGTCATCTCATTTCATCAAGTTTTGAAAAATCGCGTAATCTCCCCTCGATTGCTCATTAATCATTCTGTTCATTAATAATTTTCCAGGACAACTTTAAAAAATCCACAAAAAAAAAACATTTTTTAAATTCACGAATTTAAGAGCCTACTTTATCCAGGCGATATTGACGGTGATGGTGCAGAGGACGATATGGTTGCAGCAGATCTGGATATGCACCAACTTATTCTTAACTCAGATTCACAAAAATCGGTCAGTTTTAACAACTCTTGCTAAATATTTTGTTTCGTCTTCTTAAAAAACAAATATGGAACTAATCGTTTCAATGATTCGGGGAGGGGAGGGTGGGGATTTTAGGAAAACAAAATTTTAAAGGAAAAATATGAAGTCAGATTTTGGGGATATTGAAATAGAGACGGCTTTAAATAGGGGAATCAAAATGACTAGAACATTGAGTTGGTTTAAACAAGTAAACTGTTGGGTTGAAACTAGTATTTTGATACATTCATTGTTGTCATCATTGTCCATTAATGTTCAATTTATACATTTAATCAGTATCATTTGACAAAATAAATGTATTAGGCTTATTTTCCATTTTCAAGCGTCACATACATTTTTTCTTCAGGATCCAATAAAATCTGCTGAAGAGGTTCTCCAAGAGATTGATGATATTATTGACGACGACGATGAAGATGATGATGAAGATGGACGTGAACCTGTAGGTCTAGATCCTCCTGGTTTCCTTCCTCCCCACTCTATCCGTTCTTCTACATTTATCGGGCAGGCGCTCCAGGGACGCAAACTTGAGGATTTATCAGTTCAAGAACTTTCCCAGATTCTCTCCGATGTGGAAACATTGGTCCGGGATCTTAGTGAAGAGCTGGTAGCTGATCTAGGGACCAGAGACGAGCTAGAATTTGAAAAGGTGAATTATGGAAATCATGAATTTATGAAATAACGAAAAATCATCGTTTTTTCGAGATAGAAGAAGTCTGGAAATGTCAAAATCAAAAGCAAACAAAATCTTCCCGTAGTCGGTTCAAATGATAAGATTAATGTACAGTGCTAATCAGAAAGACCCGGAATTAATTTACAATTAATCAGACGACTTTACAATATAATTTTACAAATATGATTGATGAAACGATGATTACAATATAGTTCTGCCATTTCCAAAATGTGGTCTGCCTTTCTTGAGCATTTAAAATTGCCCGAGATATATATGTAAAATCGTCTGATTAACTGTTACTTAATTCTAATTATGACTGTATAAGAAAAAGGATATATAAGATCTGGACAAAAGTTAACGGATTTTTTTTTAAATCGTCTGCACCTTTTAGATTAATTAAAGCTGATAATTAATAATTAAATCTAATTAGATAATTTGATTCAGGAATTAAAGAATAATTTTATCTCGCTGCTTCTATCAATACAATCGAAACGACGACAGAGTAACATTGACGGGCAAACATCGAAACGAAGGTAAAAAAACCAGTGCCTAGGATCCAGATTCAATGGATCTGCAACATTTTAAATGTCTGAATCCGGGTCCGAATCTTAAAAAATATTTGGATCCGCGGATCCGAACCCAGATGCAAAAATGTCAACTAAAACATCGAAAAAAACTTCATTAAAACTTTCCTCATCATTAAATTGTAAATAAAGTTTTGCAGAAAAAAATAGCGTAAAAAGAAGAAGAAAATTTTTAAAATTTGGGTTGGTAAATATTCATAAAATCGGATCCGAATCCATTTTTTAAAAGGACGGATCCGGATGAAATGTATTCTAATCACTGTCTAAAACAATCTATTCCAAGACTTGATTTAGAAAAATCACCTTATATATGATTGTAGAAGTAGGATGTCCTTAAACATAAAATCTGTTTTATCTGTTTTATTTGAAAACGAACATTTTTGATTCAGTGTTTTTTCACCGGGAAATGGTCAATCTTTGAATACTTCAAGTAACGGGGATTTCCCCTTTATTATTTGCTAATTATATTTAACCTTTTTTAGTAAAAATCGTCGAGACGACAAGTATTTAACTACAGTGATACCTTACAACGCGGAGCGAGGTTGTCCTCCTCTCCCCACTCTCCAGGTCCTCGTCAAGATACTCAAGAGTATAAACGAGGATAGTCCTGCAGTTCCCGCCTTACTTACAGATTATATTCTCAAGATCCTCTGCCCAACCTAACCTAGCCTCCACTTTTTATATATTTACTCGTGTCAAACATATTTTATTCGTCACAAAACGCGCAAACTATTTTTTAGTTTCTCACAACAACCGAACCAAGAATATTAGATCTTTGCTAACAATATTTTTAGTCACAAAATCAAACATTCTCATTAAAGAGCACCCTATTATTGTTTCTATTTCAAGCTGCTTTTATACTGGTTATACTTAGAGCTGCTTTTGGACCTACTTGCACTAAACTTAGAGATTTGCTTGGTTTTAACTTAGAGCTGCTCTCAGGTTTTACTCGGAGCTTTTTAAAGTTAAAATTGGAGCTTTTTCTCCTTTAGTTTAGAGCATAACACTATTTTTTGTGAAATTGGCTGCTCTGCGCTATACTTTAAGTGGTTTAATATTTGTTATTTAAAACCTATGCTCTAGGTATAGCTCTATGCTTGGAGATGTATTTCACTACCTATACTCTGCTTCTCTTATTCTGTTAGATTAATTTAATTTTACTGTACTGCACCTACTTTACTGTACAGTACCGTACTGCACCCACTGTACTGCCAGCTGGAGCAAAATTATCGAGATGTAAATAAACTAAAAAAAGTTGCAAAGTGTTTTTATTTTTATTAGTTTAATAAATTTTCAGAAGAACCATGTTTAACTAGATAGTAGATATGTCGGATATTGTTAGACGGTTGAACGTGAGTCGGAGATCTCTGAGTAAGGTTGTTTCTTCCAAGAGGAAACTCGATGAAACAAGGATTGATAAAATCGGGTTCATTCGGAAAACTTTTCCTGATCAAATGTTAATTAGAAGCCTGGATCGAATTTAATGAATTGGAGAGGTCTCTGAACTCCCTACCGCCGGTTCAAATCCTCAATCACCGATTCAAATCCTCGCGAATATTTTACTATGAATCGGTAATTTAAATATTAACCGGCAGTTGGTAAGGTGTTAATGCCCGATTCACAACATTATACCGTTAAAAGCTTTTTTTAATCAAGTATGAATTTGATATAAATGTCTAGTTTTGAAAACTGATTATTTTCAATTGGGTTTTGTCTACAAAGCAAATTGGAACTTCATTACGTATACACAAACTCAGATACAGAAATTTTACTGTTCTTTTGATGAAAAAGGAATTGTCCGAGTTTCTTTTTTTCCGTTTTTAAGACTTCCACATACAAAGCCTCGTTTAAAGAGAGTAAATTACAAGGGTACTCTTCAAACCTTTGACTGATAAAGGAATTAATATGGAGTTATTGTAATTGTTCATAACTTTGCAACCTGTTTTAGTTTGTGTTATGTTATTAAATTATTATTTTGAAGAAATATAAATACTGTTATTGAAAAAAGAATATATTTTAAATTTAGATTTTAAAGTTCGCGTTGGACATCGTACATAGAATATTTGTGGTTCCCGATAAATATGTAAAGTTAGCTGTGATGAGTTCTATCTGAATGCTAGTGTGTATATTCCCGCGATTTTACAAACGGAGTTCTCTGTCGAGGATAGTGAGACGAAGGTTTATAGGGTACCGTATTCAATCGGACATGCAACTTTATAAAAGAAGAGTCAGTTGATATTGTTAAGCTCTTAAGCTATCAAAACTACATTGATAAGAATCAAGATTTTACCAATGCACATAGGGACCTAAGTCCTCCCAGAGCCACATTAAGTTCTTCATCACAGTCGAAATCTCTGGGCGGGTCTCCTATTCTCTCCAGGAAGGTTCAGAACACAACCCGGAGCCCGAATGCATCCCATCTCTTGGATCAGGTTAAAACCTAGCTCTGGTCAAATTACGTAAACTAAACTTGAAACAAGTAAAATATTATTATCTAAAAAACAGGTTTTCAAACCAATAAAGGGTTTGTTCATGTATTTGTTCATGTAACATTCCATTTAAAACCTTAAAATGTCTGAGAATAAATTTTGAAAATATCTTCGTTTTTTTTCTCTAAAACTTCTGATTTTGATTTTTACTTTCGGATTTCATAAAGTAGAAACAAATATCACAATTTACAGAATTTTACATTTTTAAAGATGGATAAACGCCGTAATCTTCAACACTATTATTCATATTAAGGTTTCAAGGGTACCCTATTGAATCTGGCATGCACTTCTATACATTCGGGGTCACTTAAAATTACCATGGCAGGCCCTTTAACTATACAAAAGGTGGTTTAAGGCCTTGTTAAAGTTTTTCTCCGGAAGTTTGGACGGAAGCAATATCTATTTATGTTATTGTATTATTAAGCGCGAAAAAGTTTTTGCCGGGATTTTTATTTTTTTTTAGTTTGTTTATGATCAAAATGAAAGTATTTTCACACCGAACGTAGTGAGGTCTGAAAAGTCACTTAATCACCCTCCAACGGGAATCATTAGGTTTGTTAAATTCCATCAAAATTTAATGAAATATTTTTATTATTTTTCAGGACAATTCGTTATTTAACGATCATATCAAGGATATCCTACTCCAGGCTGAGGAAACTACTGGACAAGGTTCAGACTTGAAGGAAAACCGTCTCCAGGATAAAGAAACTCCTAGAAAAGACCTATTCTCAGATGACTCGGAGGATATATTTGCAAACAGTGATGATGATTCACTCTTTACAACCCCAAATATCGCTCATATGAAAACTCCTGGTTCTGGGGGATCAAAGACTCCTCAAAACAGAATTCCAAAAATCGCGCATTCAAGTACTCCTGTTACAATTACTTCAAATAGCTCAAGAACTCCTTGCCGAAGAGGTTCAAGACTCCAACTTTTAAGTACTCCTAGCTCTTATTGCTCTGAAACATCCAGAAACCGAACCCCTGGAACTCAAAAATCCACCAAGGACAATAATTGCAGAGAAGGTTTGAGAAGTTCTTTACCAAAGTCAGGCATAATTTCACCTGAGGTTCCTATGCAGAAAACTCAAAACACTCTCGGTATGTTAATTTCAGATTTGCAACCAAGTATCCAAAAATTAACACAATTTATTATGTTTCACTAAAAGTTTACATCTTTAATAATTTATCTTTTTAAGAATTGTGAAGCTATAAAAAACTGAAAACTTAGCAGTCTAAATATTCCATTTCCTTAAAACTAAGCAGCTGCATAGGTCTGGAAACTAAGTAGTTGCATAGACCTAGAAACTAAGTAGCTGTATAGGTCTGGAAACTAAGCAGCTGCATAGGTCTGGAAACTAAGCAGCTTCATAGGTCTAGAAACTAAGCAGCTGCATAGGTCGAAACTAAGCAGCTGCATAGGTTGAAAACTTAGCAGCTGCATTGGTCCGGATAAAATTAGCCTCATTTTCTGTTTTTAGGAAGCAGCGGGGACTCGCAAGATTCTCAATTAATCTCTTCTCTGCCTCTCTCAGTCCTGGACATTAGGAACCAACCTTCAATCTAATAAATTCAGATATTTTACAATAAAGAAAATCAGCAAATAAAATAAATTTTTCGGTCCAAGAAAAAATTAAAATATCAAGAGACTTTTGTTTTTTTTCTGTTTGAGAGGTCAGCAAAAATTGATAACAAATCACTGTGACGCGACGGGGCGAGTCTCAGGACAAGAATATTCAAATAAAATTGGGCCATTTACAATTCACATTCCATAAATTTTATAAGATTTACATTAACCGTTAACATTTGTTCCTCAATATTCACTTTGCTTGACAAGAAGGTTTGTTATCTAGAAAACGAGTACTAGAGGAACCGTTAACTCCTAAACCTGTTCAGAAAATTACCGCGGGTAATCCTGAACCTCAGTTTGCCAATGTAAACCTTGTATCGGAGAACTGTGACCGGGGTCCGTTCTTCGGTCTCCCTGACCGGGTTCGGGAGCTCTACAGAGAACTCAAGGGTATTTCGGAGCTGTTCCCCTGGCAGTCGAAGTGTTTACTCTCCGGAGCAGTTCAGAGTAAATTAAACCTTCTCTACTCTCTACCCACTAGTGGTGGGAAAACTTTAGTTGCGGAGATAATTATGCTTCAGGCAACCTTCTCAATTCTACTAAATCATCTTTTAGATCAGTTAGAATTTTTTGCGGGGGCTGAAGGTTGGCAATTTTGCCGCCAAATGCACTCCATGTTTTCAGTTGGAATTTGAAAGGGTTGCGTGTTTTAAAATTCCATTAAATTTTCTTTTTGATATTTTAACTATGTTACCATTAAACTATGGCTATTAGCTAAATTATTTTACAATCCTATATTTATTACTTTACCAACCTAGGATGATCATTTTAGGTATTTTTACACTCTGGTTGTATAAGAAAATTTTTGAGAAGAAGTTTTTCTGCCTGATTTTTTAGATCAGTAGTCTCTCAAATGAACTATGGCTAACTTATTTTGATCTCGATATTGAGCGGTTTATGAGCGTATCTACGTGCGTACATTGAGCTAGCATTTAGCCTATATTGAGCATACATTAAGCGTACATGGAGTGTACATTAAGAATTATCAAGCGTACATAAGGCGTACATTTAGCGGACATTAAGTTTACATTGAGCTTACCTTAAGTATACATTTAATGTATATTGAGAGTGGTTGATCCACAGGAACTGCTCTGCTACCGTAAGAACTGTATATTTGTTCTCCCGTATGTTAGCTTAGTCCAGGAGAAGATCAGGTCCTTGGCTCCCTTTGCGTTGGAGCTAGGATTCTATCTGGAGGAGTATGCAGGGTCTAGAGGCAGGTAAACATACATAAATTTAAAAAGAATAATTCTTCATGAAAATATCTTTATAATGTAAACATAATTTCATAAGATCCTCTATTTATAGAGTGGCATATCCGGTTCACAATTTTACCGATAAAAGCTTTGTTAGGTCAGGGATGAATGAGATATGCATGTTTATCACTTTGAAAAATTATTATTTTCCATTATGGTTTCTCTTAAAAAGCAGATTTATGTTCCAGAAACCACGGAGGAAATTTTCAGAATTAAAGACTTTTCCAGCTAGAAGAGCGACGATATCATCCACATTATTGATCCGATAAAGTTTTAAAGGGTACCAGTGTGAATCGGACTTAATAGTTACAGTTGCAATTACGATACATTAACCCTTTTAGGTTTCCTCCGGTAAAACGAAGACACAAGAACTCCTTGTTTGTCTGCACTATAGAGAAGGCCCACGCTCTCTTTAACTCCCTGGTTGTGGATAACCGTCTTGACGAGGTCGGTCTTGTCGTTGTCGACGAGGTTCATATGCTCGGAGAAGATACACGCGGAGCAAACCTAGAATCCTTCCTGGCTAAACTCAAATACTTGAACGGGACCTTGAGCACTAAGATCCAGATAATCTCGATGAGCGCGACGGTTGGAAACCTGATGGAGCTGAGTAGGTTCCTGGAGTCGGAGTTGTATACGGACTCCTGGAGACCAGTTCAACTTGAGGAGTTTATCAAGGTATAACGAGTTATAGGAGTTGAAGAAACTTTTTAAACAACAATTTTTTTAAATGACATTTTTCTAAAATAATTACTGACCTATTTTCAAGTTGCCCTCCATTTAAAGAGCTACACGCAGGATTTACAACGGTTTCCCTAAACCTTTGTCTGGAGCAATAATTACGAGATATCCTTATTGTATCATTGTCATCATTGAATGATGGATTTATGCATCAAAGACAATGAAGGAAATTGACAAAATTTATCTCTGTTTAGTGGTAAACGTAGAGAAACTACGATATCTTCCTCATTGCTACGCAAACGGAGGTTTAAAAAGTACCGTTCTGAATCAAAAATGCTTCTCTTTTTGATATGGCGGGTCAATCAAAATAATGTGTACAGTCCCTTTAAATACTCTGCCTGCAGGTAGGTAGAGACGTGTACAGCGTGACCCCCCAGGAGTCCGAGCAGTTCAGGTTGAAGAGGAAGCTTGATGTTGGAAACTATAATCAAGAAATGATCAAGATGGATGAAGATTATCTAACTAATCTTGTTCTAGAGGTAAAGTGACGGATTGTGTGTAGAACAATGGAAAGGAACTGTATTCAAGTGTCATGTATTAGGACTGATGAAAAACTGGGTTTTTGTAAATAAACAACATTTAATTAATAATGGTTAGGAACAGGAACATTTTGACCGTCCTTTACAATTTTGGTTATTTTTTTTATTAAGGAAGTTCGTAGCAGCTCTAATATGTCACATTAAATGTGAACCTAAACCCTCTTATCATAGTTTTAAGCTGATATAATAAAAATTAACATTTAGACAAAATTTGATTTTTAAGTTTCAATATTTAGAGATTTCCAATTTAGATTTTTCAATTTAATTTTTAATTATTTCATCTCAAATTCCTCAGGTTTTCCCCGAGCACTCCTGCCTAGTGTTCTGTGATACCAAGAAGAGGTGTGAGAATGTTGCGGAGATGATTTGTAAGATTATTTTCCGACAACTCGAACTTGCTAACAAAGTTTGCAATCATAAGAGAGAAGAGAGGAAACAACTCTGCCGGTCCTTACTCCAGGACGGAGCAGGATACATGTGTCAGATTCTTCGGAGGACTTTAGAGTTCGGAGTAGCGTATCATCATAGGTTAGTAGAATAAGAGAGGAATAGGGGGATAGATAGATAGATAGATATTTCGGCTAACATTATAATAAATACATTTTACATTTTATAATTTTTTTACTAAACAATTATTAGCCAGGGCTACAGCCTAACCATTTCTGGTTGTTTTGATTGGCTGACCCTCCAAAGTTTTATAGATACATTTTATTTTTTAAAATAACAAATAACGAATATACTACACAATTCACAAAGTAATTTTTAAAAAAAGTAAAAAAAAAGAAGGATGGGTGAATAGCAAAGGGAAAAAGGGAAGAGAAGGAGAAACCCCAGCACTAAAAAATCCAATTTTTGTAGATAATATGTTACAGAGTGGTTTACAAGATTTTCAAATTACATGAGTAGCAGTTCCTGTTTTTACATTTAAATTCCTTATATTTAGAAGCCAGATATATTTCATATTCGTTTTGAAACTAAGTACTGATAATGAACATTTAATATTCATTGGAACACTATTCCAAATTCTCGTGAGAAATATTTTTGGAAAAGGTTTAAGATATTTGTTTCTTATTAATTCCAATTTAGAACTTTGTGTCTTATTAGGTTCTACAAATGGAGCAAACATTCCATTAAAAGACGAAGGAAGTTTTTCTTTTATATATTTATACATAAAAGTAGAAGCATTATGTTTGTGTATATCAGATAATTTAAGCATTCCAAGTTTAGAAAACAAAGGATCTGTATGCTGTGAATATCTTTTATCTGACAAAATCCGTATTGCTTTCTTTTGAAGTTTAAATAATTTTCCTATTTTATTGTTTTTTAATAGGGTTTCACCACAGTTTTCACACTCTTCCTCATAGAGCAAGCTTATATATCAGATCATTAAATTTTTTGATGGCAAAAATTGTTTATTTTGGACGGGAGAAAATTCAAATTCAAAAATTTTAAAAATAAACTAATTTTTGTTTTATTACTAAGTGGGTTAACTATGGACGAGAGAAAGGTTCTAGAAGAAGGATTCCTTTCTGGGTGTATTGGTGTACTGTGCTGTACCAGTACACTAGCAGCAGGGGTCAACCTTCCGGCGAGACGGGTCATCATCAGATCTCCATTTATGGGCAGGAACCAGCTCTCACATACACAGGTATGAAATAAGCTTGGATAGACCAGGGGTTCATCTAGAATTGTTTTGACTGAACATTGTACAGTACACCCATTACATCCAAAAAGTCGCAAATAATTTCGGCATCCATAAAATCCGCTTCAATTAGTCTCTTTGTTCATAAAATCTTTCGCAATTAGTAAATTAGTCCATAAAATCTTTCGCAATTAGTAAATTAGTCCATACAATCTGCCGCAATTAGTATATTAGTCCATAAAATCTGCCTCAATTAGTATATTAGTCCATAAAATCTGCCTCAATTAGTATATTAGTCCATAAAATCTGCCTCAATACGTATATTAGTACATAAAAACTACTACAATTAGTATTTTAATCCATGAAACGTACTATGATTAGTATCTTAATCCAGAAAATCTGCCACAGTTAGCATCTTAGTCCAGAAAATCTGCCACAGTTAGCATCTTAGTCCAGAAAATCTACACCTGCCGCTAAATCTCTAGATGAACCCCTGACATAAACTCATAATATCAAAACCAACTATTTTATTCAAAAGTGAACTAAATCATAATTCGAAGCTTATCAGAAGAACTAGGAAAATGATAAATTTGTCTAATTTTTTTGTTTTTATTTTAGTACAAACAGATGACAGGACGGGCAGGTAGAGCTGGGTTGGATACTAAAGGAGAATCATTTCTCATGGTGAAACCGAACCAGGTTCAACTAGTCACAGATGTAGTCACCTCTCCTGTAGAACATTGTATCTCTAGTCTTCATAAATCCGGAAGTTTAGGTTTAGCAACCCTGGTTCTCAACTGCATGTATCTGGGTTTAATTACCACACCACAGGTCGCAAAGGAGATTGTTGAACAAACCCTTCTCCGGATCCAAGCAGATAAACTATCCGTGAACCTGGAGAATGAGCTGACTGCTAGCTTTGATCTACTCTTCAATAACAATCTAATTACCACTGTTGATGAATCCCTGGCTACACAGCAAAGAATTCATATGAGTACACAGATCAAACCAACCAGGCTGGGTAGAGCTGCAATACAGGTACAGTACACGGATACAACCAGGCTATACAGGTACCGCTGTACATAGATAAAACCAAGCTTTACAGGTACAGTACATTGATACAACCAGGCTACACAGGTACAGTACACTGATACGATACAACCAGGCTATACAGGTACCACAGTACATAGATAAAACCAAGCTTTACAGGTACAGTACACTGATACAACCAGGCTATACAGGTACCACAGTACATAGA